CAGGAAGAACAGAGGTTGAAAGGGAAGTAAGTGATAAGAGAAGCAATACAGGAACATTTCTTAGAATTGAAAGCCACAGGATTCTAGATTGAAAGTACATAGTAGGTGTGAAGAAGTATGACTAAAGCACATTCTTTTGAAATTTCAAAGCATCCAGGAAAATGAGAAGGTTCCAAAGGCCCCTAGACAGAAAACAAACCTTCACGTGCAAAGGTGGAAGAACTAGAGGTGCAGACATGTCAGCAACACCGTGAAAGCTAAAAGGGAATGTAGTAGTGGGTGCAGATTCTGCAGGAAGGTTACTCTATATTTGTTTACATTTTCCAGACCCATCCAAACTATGAGGTGGGGGAGTAGAACTAATGTTTTCAGACAAATGCTTTGTAAAAACTGTTTTTGGGGAACAGCAGCTGGCATAATGGCTACGTTGCTGGACTCTGATGTAGTCGACTGCAGTTCGAGTCCTGGACCCGGTAGCTTAAACTCACGCCAGGCGCGTGTGCATGCATGCCCAAGATCCCGAGAGGAGAGTGGAGAAGGGATTGTGGCGTGGCCATCCACCCTGGAGGGTGATTTCTTGCTTTCTGTCTCTCTCTCTCTGTCCTGGCGAGGGCACATGCCCCTATAGCAAAAAAAAAAAAAAAAAAAAAAAATCTCAAAAAAATAAACACACTTGGTTTTGGATGAGATTATAAATTGGTATGTTTCTCTTAAGAGCAGTTCTCTCTCCTATTTAAAATACAAACATTCCTATTTTAAGAATTATTTACTTTTTTACTATTTTCCTTTTAAATTTGTTACAGGGAACACATACTCACCAGAGAGAGAGAGAGAGAGAGAGAGTGAGAAAGCAAGCTGCCAGGTCCAGAACTCAAACCACAGTCAGCCATGTGGAGGTCCAGCACTTTAACCACCATGCCACCTGCTGCACCCACCAGACATTCATATTTTAAACAAAAATTTGTAGGTTTGTTAATATGCCAAACACAGATTTAGAGCCCCAGAGATATAGTGATAAACAGAAGGAAGTTTTTTTATGGAGTCCATAGTCCACTTAAATTCAGTTAAAATCACAATTTTAGTATCTTCATTCAGTTGCAGTGATGTGAAGGTACCAAATTGAGAAGTTATGACTGAGAATTCCTTTTATGGAAAACTAGGAAAAAATAACCATAAAAAAAAGAATGCTTGTTATATTTAAGTTTGATCAAATGGCAAAGAAGTGTGAAAATTCATCTTCTTTTATGCAAATTAGCAATATTAGAAATAGTATAGTAATATTTACAATGTAACCACAATTAATATTATTAAAATACATATGAGAAGTGTACATTTGTGTAAAACATAAGCTATAAGTCTAAATTAAATTAGGAAATTGACATGAAAAATTTTAAAAGCTAATGTTATAATTTGTTTTAACCTCAGTAAAATTGGTGGTATACCATATTTTTATATCCCAGATTTAATCGTAAGAATAAGAATAGCTCACATTTGAAGTATAATAGATTAAGGAAATGTAAACTAAAAAAAAAAAATTAGATTAACTTTACCAGAATTAGAGAATTTAAACTGGCCACTTTAAGGGACATGAAAGTATCTTCAGGATACAGCTTGATCAGTAGTAGAGAATAATGTACAACTGCTGCTCATTCTCTCTTAAAAAGTTCACATTTTAACTAAAGTTTGATTCAGATGTGAAGCTAACAGTGAATGAAAAAATAGAACTGTTTGAAGAATGCTGACACTCCAATTCCATCAGTTATGTGGGAACAGGAAACTCTGTTGTTTTCCAGTCTAGGGAGGCATTGCAACATGGTTTATACAAACAAAATGCTGACCACCTGTGGGATTATCTGTGGGAATCCAGTTCAATTAATCATGCTACTTACTTTATCCCTTAAGCACTTAAAACAACACGTTTTAAAAAGTTCATTGTAGGGGCAGGCAGATGGCATAGTGGTTAAGGGTACTGGACCTCCACGTGGCCAACTACCGTTCGAGTCCTGGACCTGGCAGCTTGCTTTCTGCTTTCTCTCTCTCTCTGGTCAAATTTAAATAAATAAATAAATAGATAGGTAGGTAGGTAGGTAGGTAGATAGATAGATAGATAGATAGATAAAATATAAATAAATAAATAAATAATTCTTTAAAGAAAGTTCATTATATCACTGGCTTTATAGCACGGTGATTAAGCAATGGGCAGAAGGACCTAGATCCCACATGGCAGACCACCGTTCAAATCTTGGCCCCGTTGGCTTAAAAAAACATGGCCAGCATGTGTGCATTTGCACAGGATCCTGATAGGGTCGGGTGGGGGGACCAAGATTGTGGCATGGCTAGGCTCTGCTGTGGGGTGCTCTCTCTTCCTCTTTCTCTTTTCCTCCTCTTCTCCCTCTCATCTGCATGCACATGCTCTAAAAAGAGTGTGTGTGTGTGTGTGTGTGTGTGTGTGTGTGTGTGTGTGTGTGTCTGTATGATTGGTATGTTCATTTCTTCAAATTTAAAATGTCGTTTTGGCAGGAAGATGGATTTAAATGTAGAACCCTTTACTTTTTCTGGTAGTTTGCTGTAGGGCACATGCATTTGCTGGAGAGAGATACAGAAAAAGAGGGAAGGTAAGAAATCACACCTCCCTCCCCCCAATGGGGGATGACCACACTGCAATTCCTTTTCTTCCATCCTCTTTTCAGGATTTTGGGCGTGATTTTCAAGCCACCAGGTCTGGGACGCAAACTATGGTCAGCCATGTTGGAATCCAGCTCCTTAACCATTATGCCACCTGCTGGCCCCCATTTCTGTTATTTTTAATGTCACCAATTAGGCATTAGGATTATTTAAGCAAACAATGTTGATGTAGACTTACATACAAGGTCAACGTTCTCTATTGTATTCCAACCCATTCTACTGCCATGATTTTCCTTTCTGAAGTACAATTTTTAAGTAATTTTATTTACAGTAGGTTTATTGATATTAAATGCCCTCACTTTATGTTTATCTTTATAAATGTCTTTGTTTCGTGTTTATTCTGTTCTTGAAAGGCAGTTTGATGGGCACACTAGTATGATTGATGTCTGTGTCCTCTTAGCATTTTATACATACTGTCTACTTAGTTCTAAATTCTTTTGTTGTTATGAAGTGCATTGGCATTCTGATCTTCCTTTTTATGAAATCTTTTCTGTCCTTATGAATACATTCAAGCTGTTCTCTTGGCTTTTGGTAAATATTTTACTAAGCCAGGGCTAAACGTGGATTTCTTTTTATCCTGCTTGGCCTGTGTTATGCTTTTAGATTCCTAGGTGTGTGTTTTTCATTAGCTCAAGTAAGTGTACAACTGTCACATTTTTAGATAATTGCCTTTTTGCCATTCTCTCAATTTTCTTATTCTCGATCTCCAATCAGGTATATGTTGGATGTTCTCATTATTCACTTATTTATATTTTTGCTAAACCTCTCAAAATGTTTTCTCTCTTTCATTTTGAGTAAATTGCTTAGCTGTGTATTCTGGGTAATAATCTCTCTTTAATGTTGTCTAAACTGCCGTTTAATTTATCCACAGTATCTGATTTCCACAGTTTTTGTTATTTTTCTAAAGACTTTTTTTTAACTTTATTGTCATTATTCTTTGATTTTGACCATAGAGCGACAGACAGAAAGGGAGAGTGAGAAAGCAAGCTGCCAGGTTCGAGACTTGAACTGTGGTCGGCCGTGTGGGGGTTCAGTGCCTCAACCACCACATCACCTGCTGGCCCCTCAGCAGTTTTTATTCTTCATTTCTAGAAACCCATTTTATTTATTTTTCGATACCATGCAATTTGAGGCACTTACACATGCAGTGGGCATGTTTAAGGCAGATTGAGCCAGGTATTATCTAACCATAGTCATTGTGTGGGGTCTGGCTTCTCTTGAGTAGTACTTCACCACGGCACCATGATGCTGGCCTTCGATTAATTAATTTATAAAATCTATTTATTCCTGATCATTTTGTCCTCATCTTGATTATTACATCCTTTATTTCTTTAAACATTTTATAAATATTTATTCTGTGTTGTGTATATGTGATGCCCTCAGTACTTCTAGACCTAAAAGATCTTTGTGGTTTCTAATATCTCTGTCATAGTGACATAACGTACACTTTTTCTGGATAATCTTTGTGTGATTGTACTAGAGTTTAATTTGTAGGAAATCCTTTTAGTTAGAGAAAAATAACTTTTACTTATTCTTCAGCTGTGAGCCAGCATGTACCCACCTCAAGGATCATTTAACTGTGCAAATCTAAATGCAGAATTTCTGGATTTTGGAGTTCTACACATATTAAAATTTTCCTAAATATTGTTTAATTTTCTAAGATTATACTGATTTAAGCCCCACTAGCAACTTTCACTATTTGAAAGTGGTTTTTTTTTTTTTTTTTAAGTTTTGCTAGAGGACTCCTGTGCTCCCTGAATTGAAACCCAGGTGAGGGGGACAGGGAGTTCAGTTGAGTAAGCATCCACATTGAGCATGGCCACACCACAATTCCTTCTCCTCATGTCTCCCTTCTTTCAGGATTTTGGGCATGCATACACACGCACGTGCCCAGTGTGTTTTTCAAGGTGCCAAGTCCTGGACTTGTACTGTTCAAGTCAGCCATGTGGGATCCAGCTGTTTCAACCACCAGGCCATGGGCTAGTCCTAAACATACTTTTTTGTTTTAACCCTATCTGTTTTCATCACTATGTCACAATACTTTTCATTTTGGTAGACAAAACAAAATTTTTTTTGGAGAGATTTTTGTTATAGGACGCACGCACTTGCCAGAAAGACAGAAAGAGACAGAAAGCGAGAAGTCACCCCTGTAGAGATGGCCACACCACAATACCTTCTCCATTCTCTCTGGATCTTGAGCACACACACACACACACACACATATGCCTGGCATGAGTTTAAGCCACCGCGTCTGGAATTTGAACCACTGTCCATTATGTGGGAGTTCAGTGACATAACCATTACATCATCTGCTATTCCCAACTGTAACCTTTTGGTTGTGGACAGATGTCTTGAAACTGCTGCTAAACTATTCAATTATAGCATTATTCACTATGCAAATTGATTTTATTTATTATTATTGTTGTTATTTAATTTGCAATGGGCCACCTGTGCTCACCAGAGAGGGAGAAAAAGAGAGAAGAACAGAGAAGGAAAGTGAGAAAACAAGCCTCTAGGTCTAGGGCTTGAATCTCAGTCGACCATGAGGGTACCTCATGGTTGTGCTGGCACCTCAACCACCACACCACCTGGCAGTCCCAGCTATGCAAATTAAAATCAGTAAAAAAAAAAAATTATTTCCATGGGAGGACCAGAAGGGCATCAGTATAAGTCATACATTTGTATTGTTTACTTTTTAGACTTTCCATGTATGCGTCATGAAGTTTCCTCTCTTTGCAGAGGGGAAGTAATCTAGCCTCAAACGCAAAATGCTGGTTTAGGGACCAGCAGACAGTGGTAAAGCATTGGACTCCCACATGGCCAACCATAGTTCGAGTCCTGGACCCAGCCATTTGAAAATCACACTGGGCACAAGTGTGTGTGCCCAAAAATCCCAAATGGAAAATGGAGGAGAAGGGATTGCTGTATGACCATTCCCCCAGGAGGTGATTTCTCACTTTCTCTCTGTCTCCAGTGAGTGTATGCACCCTATGGCAAAAACTTTTTAAAAAATATACAGATTTAGTATAACAAAAGACCACGTTCTCTGGATCTTGTTTTATTTGTGCAAAGAGGGTAAATTGTATTCTCTCATCTTCTATAAATAAACAAAACTTGCCTTGTGAATCTTAGAAGAATCTTGTGGTCCTTAAGTGTTACCTTCCTTACAGTGTGATGTTTAAGTGCTTATAACAGGGGTGTGTGGGGGGTGTTGTACTGCCAGCAAAGTATAGTTTATGTAGAAACAGGAGTATAAGAGATGCCTCCCAAATGATCCTTTCCATATTTTTTTGTAGGGCAAATGAAAAGGACTAAATGTGCTGACATTGATGTCGAGACCCCAGACTCCATTCTGGTTAATACTAATCTGCGAGCATTAATCAACAAACATACGTTTTCAGTACTTCCTGGAGATTGCCAGCAGCGACTGCTTTTACTACTTCCAGAGGTGGATCGGCAGGTGCGTCATGTCAAGCAGAAGCAATTTCGTAATCCTCTGGTCTTCCTTTACTCATCACCTTTAGAATTCCCTGAGATTTTTTAGATTATCTGCTTTTTGTATGTGCCTGTGAAGAAGTGGCGTGAATGGAACTAAATAAGAAATGCAGTGTTTTTATGTCTTATTAGTAGGTGGGCTTTGTAGAGCTTGCAGAGAAAAAAAAAGCCCTCTCTTACTGTAGTGCACAAATTACAAAATAAATGACTGGCTATTGTTTTAGGACTTAGCACTCGCTGGAGAGACAGAGGGAGGGAGGGAAAGTAGAGAAAGTGAGAAATCATCCCCCCCAGGGCGATGGCCATGTCACAATCCCTTCATTCTCCTCTTGGGATTTTGGGCATGCATGCACATGTGTCCAGTGTGTTTTTCAAGCCCCTGGTCTCAAACCACACAGTTGGCCGTGTGGAATACAACTACCTTAACCATCACGCCACTGTCTGGCCCATTGTCCTGGTCCAGTATCAGCATGATGTGGGCCAGTGGTTCTTCTCTTCTGTTATATTTTTCTGAAAGAAACATTTATTGCTTTCATAATAAAGAACTTTATAAAACAAAAAACAAAACAAAACAAAAAAAACAAGAAATACCAAAGATTTGGGAAAAATCAAGATAGAGACCTGAGAAATTTAGCCTGCTCAAGAATAAGGTAAAAGTCTGGGAATTAAGGCTTTCATCAAGGAAAGAATGACCCATGAATCACTCCACTAATCCTTATCTGGGAAATGAAGGTCATGATTTTCTTTTCTTTTTTTTCTTTTTTTTTTTTTTTGGAGAGGTTTTCGCTATAGGGCGCGTGCGCTCACCAAACAGACAGAGACATAGAGACAGAAAGTGAGAAATCACCCCCCAGGGGGGATGGTCATGCCGCAGTCCCTTCTACTCCATTTTCCTCTCGGGATCCTGGGCATGAGCCCAGCGTGAGTTTTAAGCCACCGGGTCCGGGATGTGAACCGCGGTCGACTACGTGGGAGTCCAGCGACATAGCCATTACGCTAACTGCTGGTTCCCCCTTTTTTTAAAAAAAATTTTTTTGGAGAGGTTTTCGCTATAAGGCGCATGCGCTTGCCAGACAGAGCATTCTCCTCTTGGGATTTTGGGCATGCATGCACATGTGTCCAGTGTGTTTTTCAAGCCCCTGGTCTCAAACCACACAGTTGGCCGTGTGGAATACAACTACCTTAACCATCACGCCACTGTCTGGCCCATTGTCCTGGTCCAGTATCAGCATGATGTGGGCCAGTGGTTCTTCTCTTCTGTTATATTTTTCTGAAAGAAACATTTATTGCTTTCATAATAAAGAACTTTATAAAACAAAAAACAAAACAAAACAAAAAAAACAAGAAATACCAAAGATTTGGGAAAAATCAAGATAGAGACCTGAGAAATTTAGCCTGCTCAAGAATAAGGTAAAAGTCTGGGAATTAAGGCTTTCATCAAGGAAAGAATGACCCATGAATCACTCCACTAATCCTTATCTGGGAAATGAAGGTCATGATTTTCTTTTCTTTTTTTTCTTTTTTTTTTTTTTTGGAGAGGTTTTCGCTATAGGGCGCGTGCGCTCACCAAACAGACAGAGACATAGAGACAGAAAGTGAGAAATCACCCCCCAGGGGGGATGGTCATGCCGCAGTCCCTTCTACTCCATTTTCCTCTCGGGATCCTGGGCATGAGCCCAGCGTGAGTTTTAAGCCACCGGGTCCGGGATGTGAACCGCGGTCGACTACGTGGGAGTCCAGCGACATAGCCATTACGCTAACTGCTGGTTCCCCCTTTTTTTAAAAAAAATTTTTTTGGAGAGGTTTTCGCTATAAGGCGCATGCGCTTGCCAGACAGAGAGAGAGAGAGAGACAGAAAGCGAGAAATCACCCCCCAGGGGGAATGGCCACACCACAATCCCCTCCTCCTCCATTCTCCTCTTGGGATCTTGGGCACGCACGCACACACGCCTGGCTGAGTTTTTGTTTTTTTCTTTTTTTGGAGAGGTTATTTTTTGCTATAGGACGCGTGTGCTTGCCAGACAGACAGAGAGAGACATAGAGACAGAAAGCAAGAAATCACCCCCCAGGGGGGATGGTCACGCCGCAATCCCTTCTCCATTCTCCTCTCAGGATCTTGGGCACGCACGCACATGCGCCCGGCGTGAGTTTTAAGCCACCGGGTCTGGGACACGAACTGCGGTCAACTACGTGGGAGTCCAGCGACATATCCATTATGCTAACTGCTGGTCCCAAGGTCATGATTTTCTAAGGTTTATTCACTTCAAGACTTTTTTCAATTCATTATTAGTTCCAAGCACCTAATATAGCATATTCCCTAGTTTGTATGAAGACACTAACAAAGAATAACAAGCTACACAAGTCATTTTAACTCATTGACTGTAAAGTCAAACCTTCCTCATTTCCAGAGATCATCTTTTCTGTTAGAGTACATTGCCATCAGTTCCATAGTTCTGTGCATCAGCTTATGACAGAGCAGGTCACAGTTTTATCCAGAGAGTCCAAGTAAATCAGATAACCCCGCCATAGGGACAGAGCAGTAAAACTGGTCCTTCCCAGTGACTGCCTTCTCCACCTTAACTTTGCTTGGAGAAATTACAGCTTTGGGGATGGCCAGTTCTTCCAGAGACTGAAGTTTCAGCAGAGTTATAAAGAATCCCATTAGGGGGACCAGCAGGTGGCTTAACAGCTTTGTCACTGGACTCCTGTGTAGTCGACCACAGTTCAAGTCCTGGACCCAGTGGCTTAAACTCACACTGGGTGCATGTGCGTGCATGCCCAAGATCCCAAGAGAAGGGATTGCAGCGTGGCCATCCCCCCAGGTGGTGATTTCTCACTTTTTGTCTTGCTCTCGCTCTCTTTCTGGCGAACGCACATGCCCTATAGCAAAAACCTCTCAAAAACACAAAAACAAAAAAACACTGCCTGCTCCCTATCACATTTTTAAGAGTAGAGAAGGAAAAAACACCTTCAACGGTCTCATTGTGACATGGCCGTGATTTCCTTCCCCCAGCCCTCCAGCTCCTCAGGATCCAGGCCCTCACACACACATCTGCTGTACTTTGAAGCTGATCTGAAGTTCCAAATCCTCACTTGACCATATAGCTTCCAGCCTTGCAGACTGCTTGCATCACTGCTGCATCATAGTGGCTAGGCCCTATGGGTATTCTTTTTTGTTTATTTGTTTTTATTCATTCACATGTGTGCCCAGGGTCTTTTTCATGCTGCCCTGCAGATCCGAACCTGCAGTCAGCCATGTGTTCAGTTTGCCACCAACTGCACCACCAGGCTGGGCTCTTGTGGAATGTTCATAATAGGTTACTTGGCTAGAGTATTTCTGAAGAGTTGTTGTTGTCACTAGGATGAAAAGTTGGAAACTGTGCTTTAGTGTATGGGATATCTTGCAATGAACAGTAGAAAAATACCTTTTAAACCAGAGAAAAACAAGGGAGGATTGGATTAAAACATTTCTCTTCCTAAATATTTGAAATTTCATTATGTGGAAGAGGTAATCTTTATCCAGAGAAAGATTTGGCGTTGAAATGGCAGTTTTTATGTTAAAAGTTGGAGGTTAAACAATGGACTGATTGGACATGCAGTGGGGTAACTTGCTCATCACTGGATCACCTCATTAACACTCCACTTGAAGAAGTAGAGATTGGACGAACTCTTCTCATAGGAAAGCCTGTTAACGCTGTACCAGCTCTCTGGAGTTTGACTCAGCAGTCAGCTCTCCACAGCTTCCCTGGACAGGTCTAGCCCACTGCCTGTTTTTGAAAATAAAGCTTTATTGGCATAGTCACTCTTACTAGTTTATATATTTTCTAAAACTGCTTTTTTGCTCTAATGGCAGAATTGAGTAGTTGCAACAGAGGCTATGTGGTCTGCAATGGCTAGAGTATTTGCGTTTAGCCTTTTACAGAAAGTATACCAATTTCTGCTCTAGAGTCAGGAAAATATGTTGGTCCAGGTAGGTTTGAAAAATAATTGGATTAAGAAGAGTTCTTCAGACCAGCAGGTGGTGTGGATGTTAAGGCAGCTGAGTCGCACATGGCTGGCTGTGGAGTTTAAGGACCCAGCTTAAAAAATCACATGTGTCCATGGCCAAAATTCTGAGAAGAGAATGGAGGACAAGAGATTGTGGCATGGCCATCCACCCAGGGGTGCTTTATTACTTTCTCTCTCTTGTCGCTGTCTGACTCTGGCCATCATATAGGCCCTATAGCAAAACTTAAAAAATAGTAAAACTGGGATCAGCAGGTGGTGTAGTGGTTAAGACACTGGGCACTCCCATGTTTCTGACCACGGTTTGAGTCCCGGATCTGGCCGCTTTCTCTCTCTTTCTCTCTCTCTCTCTCTCTCTCTGGTAAAATTAAAATAAATGAATGAGTAAATAAAATTAAATAATTCTTTTAAAAATAGTAAAATTAAAGAGTTTCTCAATTATAGGATGTTGAAATAGTTTTCTAAATATTCTTCAATTAATTGGATTTTGATTTAAGGCTTCTCTTTGGGTTTTTAAATATATTTATTATGATCTGAATTTGAGATTCTTTGGTACATATTTCTTCATATACACATGGTGTATATTTAGACACTGTCTCCTCATCCATTCATACTTGTTCATTCTAATACCAGTGATAGTTTAGATTGTAGTGACTTTGTTTAGTATGTTTAACAATTAGAAAGGCAGTTCCTTTTTCTCATTTTTTCTTTTTTTTCATGTTGAATTTAAGATTATTTCTTTATGAATATTCTCATAAAGATTCTGATAGAGATGAAGACATTAATCTTTAGCTTTTTTTATTTTTAATTGAGATTTTTTGCTATAGGGCCCTTGCGCCCACCAGAGAGACAGACAGAAAGTGAGAAACCACCCCTCACCTCCAGTGAGAGATTGGCCTCACCACAATCCCTTCTCCTCCATTCTCCTCTTGGGATCTTGGGCACACACCCACATGAACCTGGTGTGTGTTTTAAGCCACCAGATCTGAGACTCGAACCGCGGTCTACTACATGGGAGTCTTAGTGACGTAACCATTATGCCATCTGCTGGTCCTGAGATGGCAATGTTATTAAGTTTCTTTATCCAGGTTTCTTCATATCTGGTGTTTTATGTCCTTAAATGAGATTTTATTGTTTTAAACCAAGACAGGAAATCCGGAATCTCTAATATGAAAAAAAAAAAAATGTAAATCTTTTGGCAAATTGTCACAAATTAACTCAGGTGACAGATGAGGGATAATGTTTTTAATGTGTGTATAATATGCAAAGGATTTTCATAAATTAAAAATAAGTAGCCTAATAGGAAAATGAGAAAATGATGAGAATTGGCCAGTTCACAAGACAGTATTACTCAGTAAACGCGCAGAAAGATGCACACACTAGTAGTCAAGAAAAAAATTTTTTCAGGAAAATTATTTCACCGTTTCAAACCCGTTAGATTGGCAAAAGTTAAAATAGTATATTAACACCTGCTGTTGGCAGGGAGACGGGTGTGCTCACATATTACTGATTAGAAGTGTCAGTTGTTGGGGCCAGTAGGTGGCATGGTGGTTAGGCGCTGGTCTCCCACATGGCTGGCTGCGGTTCAGGTTCCAGACCTGATGGCTTACTTTCTCACTTTCCTTCTTTCTCCCTCTGTCTCTCTGGTCAAACTAAAGTAATAATAATGAAAATAAATTTAAATCTTTTTTTTAAATGTCAGTTGTTTTTAACCTTTTGAGAGTAATCTGGTAATACCGTGTTACGCATGCACAAATAGTTCTAGGAATGAAGTCCTCAGAAATGAAAGCACTGGTATATTAATTCCCAGCAGGACACTTCCTGCAGCTTAGCTGTTGAGGGAAACATGTCCTTCTGTTAAGGCCGTGGTAAAGAGAGTACCTCAGGTATGTTGGGGCACTGCAGCGGTGTGCAGCTATTACGAAGGAGCTGACACTGTGCCGGTTGACCCGGCCACCCTCCACAGGGTATTTCGTGAAGTTAGATTAAGGGTAGGTAATATGACCTGGTCTCACTTTCATAAAATGGATAATTCCCTCTCAGAAAAATAAAACAGTTACACATGTATTTATATGTGGTTGTTCGAGCAGGTTTTTAGTCATTGGGGAATGGAATTGAAAGGAGAAGGGAGGAGAGGAAATAAAGTAATTATTTTAGGGCAAAATGATACTACATTAAAAAATAGAGACATTCATAATGAACATGGCATGAGATAGTTACGTTTCTGTAAAATTAAATGTATGTACTTTCTTTTCTAAATGAAAAGAAAACCAAATACCACGATATTTTTGCTTTCTTTGTAAGCTTTCCCTGGCTTACTCTTTGACCCAGGTTGGTCCTGATGGTTTGATGAAGCTAAATGGCTCAGCCCTTAACAATGAGTTCTTCACCTCAGCGGCCCAAGGCTGGAAAGAAAGACTCTCAGAAGGTAAGTCCAGCGCTCGTGGAGCCAGGATCTGTGTGCACTGTAGCTGCAAGGAGGGCACGCGGGCACTCCACCTCATCAGGTACTCGAGCAGTTTCGGAAGCTTAAGGGCAGGATGTTCCTATTGGGTAGAGGTTGCTGTCCTGTGTAAAACATCTTGCTAGACTTTTTTTTTCCCCCTCCTGTGTAGCTAGTTTAACTTCAAATGGAATCCAGCAATATATTTCTTTACTGATTTAAAATCGCCTGAGAATCTAAAAAAATACTTATTTTTAGGCCCTATTCCTAAAGATTCTGATTGAATAATGCATAAGAATTTATTGTCCACCCTCAGTGAAACTTAACAGTAAGAGAAATCAGTAAGAACTTTAAAATAAACCTATCTTATTATGATATATTTCACATACTATAAAATTCATGAACTTGAGTACAGTTACGTTGCAGACATATTTTAATAAGCATGGATTATGGTCAGGAATTGCTGACTGTCCTCACTGATCTACCCTATTTCCATCTCTCATTTACCAGGTGTACTGAGGACACCTGATAAAATGTGCAACATTGTCAGTGATTGTGTGAGCTCTGCGTGCAGTATCTGTCACTATTGGCCGTTTTAACCCTGACTGCTCAAAAGCACTTGTGTTTTTTAAAACCTTATTTTATTTATGATACACGTGGACGTGAGAGAGAGTCACCCTCGATAGGACCTCCCTTTGCTGCACTCCTCTTTCTCCCACTCTCCACTCCTTGGGATCCTGGGCACACACATGTTCCCCTACCCAAACCCACAGTCAGCCTTGTTGCTTCCAGCCCTGCAGATCACGTCACTACCAACTGCATCACTAGGATGGGCCAGGTTTTTGTTGTTGTTTTTTGTTTTTAAGTTTATGTCTTGAGAGAGGCAGACAGGTACTCTTAATAGAATCTCATGTAAGGATCCTCCCCTCTAGCTTTCCCAGCCAGCCAGGATCATGGACTCACGCACCTGATGTGTGTAAGCCGCCCTGGGAACCAAACCCTGATCTTCTGTTTGGCCTCTAGCACTGTGGAGCCTTGTACAACCACTGCACTGCTATGGCTAGGACGTGATTATATTTAATTGTTCTGTGATGATGCCTGAGCCTTAGTGTGTTTTAAGTTTTCCCACATGATTCTAATAATATACATCATAAATAAAACTACTGGCTGTATTAAATTTATTATTTTTTAAAAGTTTGCTATAGGGCACATATGCTCACTAGAGAGACAGAAGGGAGAGAGGGAAAATGAGAAAGCACCCCACGGGGGGATGACAGTGCCACAGTCCCTTCTCTTGTCAGATTTTGGACATGCACACACATGTGCCTGGTACGTTTTTCAGGCCATCAGGTCCAGGACTCAAACCACACAGATGGCCATGTGGGATCCATGCCACCTGGCTAGCCCACTGGCTGTGTTGTTTTTACTCCAATATTACGTCTGTTTTTCAGTGTATATAGAAGACAAAATAACACTTGAAAAGTCATATGTAGGATATATGATAGGATATAGGATAGCTTAAAACAACTGTAAGAAGCTTTTAAAATGTTTGTGAGGAGGGCATTAGAAAAGCTACTTATTGGGACCAGCAGATGGCGTGAAGGCTACATTGCTGTACTCCCATGTAATTGAGTGTGGTTTGAGTCCCAAACCCAGTGGCTTAAAAGTCAAGCCGGGCACATGTGCATGCGTGCCCAAGATCTTGAGAGGAGAATGGAGGAGAAGGGATTGTGGCGTGGCTTTCCCCACAGTGGGGCGATTTCTCGCTTTCTTTCTCTCTGTTTCTGTCTTTCTGACTAGCACATGCGCCCTATAGCAAAAACCTCTCAGAAAAAAAGAAAAGCTATTTATTGCTTACTTTTTGCCAGACCCCTGACAAATATTAACCAGATCAGCTAATTTGTCTGTATATTGTTCACTGCATCTGTTGGCTTTTCTTACCCTCTTTCAGAGCAAAATCTGTAGAAGGGCTCTCTTACTGATGAGTTTGATCCTTTGTCTTCTTTACAGATTTCCTTGGGCAATGATCCCTTTTTCTGAAAGAACTGAAATCACATGAAGCACTTTAAACATACCAGTTACCAGTGCCTGGGATCCTTTCTTTAAGAATAAATTGGTAGGGCCAGCAGGTGGCATGCAAGTGAAGGCAGCTAGTTGCGTGGTTCAAGTCCTGGACCTGGGCAGATTGAAAATCACACTGGGCATGTGTAGTGAGAGCCCACAAATCCAAAGAGGAGAATGGAGGGGGAGGAATTGTGGTGTGGCCGTCCACCCCAGGGGGTGATTTCTCACTTTCTCTGTCTGTCTCTCTCCTGTGAGCACACATGCCCTATAGCAAACAAACACACAAAGAATTGACTTACCCATCCCTGCTTGTTTCTGAGTAGGTACTATCAACATTGATACCCTGATTATTATCAACGTTACTTATTTTTATGTTCAAGCGAAATGACTGCTATTTCTGTATTCATGATCATATCATACACACTATGAATACTGCACATTTGTGAAGAGAGTTCAGTACTTCTTATTCCTCATTCTAGGATACACAGTACTCAACAGTAGCAGTTCCAGGTTGGATTCTGACAGCCACATTCCTCTTTTCCTGTTCCTTTGCCCACAATCCTCTAACATTTTTCCTTTCCTCCTTCTTACCCCCAGGAAGTCTTAAACTTCAAACTGCCATTTCTACCTCTTATTCCCTGATGTCCTGGGTATTAGAGTATAAAAGGGAGCAGCCTCTCTGAGCCACAAGTTTGAAGATGGGCCACCAAGCACATTCACTGTTCTCTGCTGATGGAATGGGAAGGATTGAGGTGGTTGGTAGCGTATGCAAATCAGTGGTATATGCAGAGCTGCTGGGTCTTTGGCATGTTGAGTGTCCTGTTAAATTGGTACAGTTTCTGGAACAGTTTGGAAACCAACTCCAGAATAGCTCTCTACCTTTTAACTGGCATCTCATATGCCTCGAAACAGAGCCTTAGCTTTTCCTTATGCAGAGGTAAAAGGCCTAAAATGCAAGTTGCCTTGGAGAAACAACTTTAAAATAATAAAATGCTCAGTGGCATTATTCCCTGAAAGCATCACTCTCTCCCACCCCCACCCCCCTGCAGTGGAAAATAAATTGGAAATTCAACATTAGAGATAAAATAAATTTTTATGAAATATGTTTGGAGCAGGAGGGAGGTGCTGCAAGGAAAACCCAGAGAAAAGGCTCTTGGCCGTCCACCCCAGGGGGTGATTTCTCACTTTCTCTGTCTGTCTCTCTCCTGTGAGCACACATGCCCTATAGCAAACAAACACACAAAGAATTGACTTACCCATCCCTGCTTGTTTCTGAGTAGGTACTATCAACATTGATACCCTGATTATTATCAACGTTACTTATTTTTATGTTCAAGCGAAATGACTGCTATTTCTGTATTCATGATCATATCATACACACTATGAATACTGCACATTTGTGAAGAGAGTTCAGTACTTCTTATTCCTCATTCTAGGATACACAGTACTCAACAGTAGCAGTTCCAGGTTGGATTCTGACAGCCACATTCCTCTTTTCCTGTTCCTTTGCCCACAATCCTCTAACATTTTTCCTTTCCTCCTTCTTACCCCCAGGAAGTCTTAAACTTCAAACTGCCATTTCTACCTCTTATTCCCTGATGTCCTGGGTATTAGAGTATAAAAGGGAGCAGCCTCTCTGAGCCACAAGTTTGAAGATGGGCCACCAAGCACATTCACTGTTCTCTGCTGATGGAATGGGAAGGATTGAGGTGGTTGGTAGCGTATGCAAATCAGTGGTATATGCAGAGCTGCTGGGTCTTTGGCATGTTGAGTGTCCTGTTAAATTGGTACAGTTTCTGGAACAGTTTGGAAACCAACTCCAGAATAGCTCTCTACCTTTTAACTGGCATCTCATATGCCTCGAAACAGAGCCTTAGCTTTTCCTTATGCAGAGGTAAAAGGCCTAAAATGCAAGTTGCCTTGGAGAAACAACTTTAAAATAATAAAATGCTCAGTGGCATTATTCCCTGAAAGCATCACTCTCTCCCACCCCCACCCCCCTGCAGTGGAAAATAAATTGGAAATTCAACATTAGAGATAAAATAAATTTTTATGAAATATGTTTGGAGCAGGAGGGAGGTGCTGCAAGGAAAACCCAGAGAAAAGGCTCTGTCAGCCTCCACCGAGTCCTGGAAACTATGCAGAGTGGTGTGCAAATGTATCGAGTCATCAGGAAAGTCATGACGCAGTTTTGCATAGAAAAACACATCATGACCTTCCCAATGGCCCAATATATTCTACCCCCCCCCCACAGTGGCACTTAGGTTATCCTTTACAGCAGGGGCTTTGGGAAATTTCTGTTACTTTTGCCTTATAGTATTCTGATTCCTGCATGATTTAGAAATAGGTAAAATTCACAGTAGCATTTTTCTACTTAATATCCTTTTTTTTTTGGTATGTTATAGGGGAGTTCACACCTGAAATGCAGGTGAGAATTCGACAAGAGATTGAGAAGGAGAAAAAAGTAGAGCCATGGAAGGAACAATTCTTTGAAAGCTACTATGGTCAGAGGTAATGTTAAGATGCGTTCTATAACCCAAATGCTAATTCCTGTGTATTGTCAGGCGGTGTTTCATCTCATTAACAGAAGATCTCGTCTTCAGCTTCCTTCTTTCCTTTTTATTTCATCAATTCTTTATTGAGTTTTTTTTTTTTTTCTTTTATGAATTATAGGGGCACAGAACTGGATTATTCCTCTTTCTTGACCTTTAACACACTTTCATTGTGGGCAAGATGTTTTTTTAAAAAAGAAAAAAGGTTGTTTTTTTAACTTGAGTTAGAGCCCCTTTGGCTGTTCTCCCAGTAACTTTACAAAACAGAAGAACACTGAAGTTCTGTACATTCTTTATAGTAGTTAATTATCCAAAAATACTGCTTACTCAGAATTACAAAGGAGCCCTAGGAATCCTGTAATATGGACCATTTTACCCAGCGTGTAATTACCCAGTCTCTCCTCTCTAAAAGGTGCCTGGGAGATGTGCATCACTGGACCCAAATACGAGCCTTGTTTTCAGGGAGCTTCAAGCTAAATCCATTTTTTTTTTCTAACAAAAAGTCCAAATGAATCTTAATGGTGGCATTTAAATAGATGACAAGGGAGCTGTTATGTTTGAAGTCGGGACTGAGCACAGGGCTCATATTTCTTAGTCCCTGATCCTCCTACTTAGTAAACGGCAGCCCTTCAGGGAAGACCATAACTGTGATTTGAGAACTTAGGGCTCCTTTTCCTTACCTCCAAGAAGCACTCCCTGATCCCACTTCACAGTCATTTCAGAAAGAACCACCTACCCTGACTTTTCTTCATTTTTAAAAAATACTTTTTTAATTTATTTATTCATTTATTTTTTAATTTGACCAGAGAGAGACAGAGTGTGAGAGTGAGAGAGAGAGAAAGTGAGAAAGCAAGTCACCAGATTCAGGAGTCGAACCCTGGTTTGCCAATGTGGGAGTGTCCAGCACCTTAACCACCATGCCACCTGTTGGTCCCAGACTTTTCTGCATTCTTAATATGAACATTCAGTAGTAGAAGCGATTTTGTATAACTTTGAGACCATTCTTAAAGGTGGCAGTAGCTGTATAAACATTTGTTCATTCCCTCCTTGTTAGGCAGATAGAAATTTGCAGCAACTCTTGCGTCTTTCTGTTTTCAGCTACTAGTTTTTTACTAGTTTAATAAAAGGAATTTTTTTATTATTATTACTGCCCACTTTTGTCCTTAGCCATTCTGTCTCAGAGGTACAGTACTGATTCTTCAGAGTCACCAAAGAAAGCAAATTGATTTTGCCTGTTACATAGTATTCTAAAACATTAAGAAGAGTCTTTTAGCCATGCTACACTATGGAAATCCCAATAGGGCTATATTTTTAGGATAGCCCAGAGATGCACGATCTCAGAATTTAGAAATAGACCAAATAGAATTTAAACAGGCTTTTCAAAAACTCAATTACAGGCGAGCCCTGTGGCCCAGTAGTTAAAGAGCCAGATTCCACATGGCCAACCTCACAATTTGGGTCCCGAACCCAGTGACTTAAAAAACACCCCAAATCCCAACAGGATGAAGAAAGGATTGTGGCATGACCATGCCCCAAATTGGGTAGTGCTTTCTGCCTTTCCTTGTCTTTGTCTGTCTCTGGCAGAAGACACACACATTCTCCAAATTTAAAAGAGAAAACAATGGGGCCAGCAGGTAGCATGGTGGTTAAGGGCACTGGACTCCCACATGGCTGACCACAGTTCAAATCTCGGATCTGGCAGCTTGCTTTTCTCTCTCTCCCTCCCTCTCTCCCTTCCTCTCTCTGTCTCTCTCTTTCTCCCTCATTCCTTCTCTCACTTCCTCCCTCTCTCTGTCCTTCACTGGTCTCATTAAAAATAAATAAATAAAATAATAAAATAATTCTTTTTAAAAATAAATAAAACAAAGCTCGTTACAATTCTCAACGTCTAGAAAACATTGATAGCCAGCTCTTCTGCTGTCTCCTTGTGGTTCCCCTAGATTTCTAGGGCCAGCCTTTCAGTAGGTACTGCTGAGCCAAATTGATCACAACCTGAACCTACAAGCCCAGAGTGGATAGACTTCACCTTCCTTTGATTGATTCCCTTGTGGGTAGTCTGTGATGCATCTCTCTAGACAATATGGCCTCTTTTAGAAGCAGAAGTAATAATAATTACCATTTTTTGGTCTTTTGTTAATGTGCTCGGTAAGTCCTGTACGTGGATTAACTTAAGTCATAATAGCAGCACTGGGAAGTAGTTAACCCTAGTGCATCAAACTGAGGTACAGAAATCTGGTCAGTCACTTAATATCATATAGACAGTTGGTATCAGAGCCAGGATTTGCATCTAAGCAGCCATGTTCCAGAATCTTCACTTCTTCTAGTAATACTAAAGCTAGTGCTTTACAAATACCTAATACGTACCAGAGGTGCTCCCAGGCATGGTCTTACCCCATTATCTTGTAATGCCCTCAGTGAAACAAGCCGTTTCTCATTTATTTCTTCTACTTTATAGTTCTGGCTTGAGCCTTGAAGATTCGAAGAAGTTGATAGCTTCCCCGAGCGATCCCAAAGTAAAGAAAACCCCAGCTGAGCAACCAAAATCCATGCTTCCCTCAGAGTCCTCTCCCATCAGAATAGCCACAGTTCCCCATTCAGAGTGTGAAGAAGAGCCAACGCAGAGACCATCACCAGTCAGCAAAGGAGAGCGCGAAAGCCAAGGCGAGGTGCCAGCAAGCTTCTCCAGGTCCACGGAGCCCCCACGGTCCTCGGCTAGCAGGACTGATGAGCTGACCAGTGTTCTTACCCTTAAGTGCCCAAAGGCTGAGGATCTCTCAGAGCAGAAGCCAGTTGTTTCTGCTGAACAGGAGTCTGAGAAAGAGAATCATCTCACCTCAGCTTCTAATTATAACAAAAATGAAAGCCAGGAAGCTGTAGTTACATCTCCAAGCAAACCCAAGAGTCCTGGGGTGGAGAAACCGATAATGAAGCCCATAGCAGAAGCAGGTTCACAGGAGGCCACCATGAAAGAACTTCCCGTGGTTCTTGCTGATCAGAGCCCAGAAAGCCTCAAGAGGAAATCTTCCCTCGCACAAGAAGAGACCTCTGTGAGCTGGGAAAAGAGGCCGCGTGTCACTGAGAGTCGCCAGCACCAGCCGCCATTTCAAGTCTCGCCACAGCCCTTTCTCCATAGAGGGGACAGGGTCCAGGTGCGAAAAGTTCCACCTCTCAAGGTAAGAGAGTGGGGAGAATTGGAAAGGAGAGATGGTCTGAGCCTTGGCTTTTTGGTTATACCTAGTAAATGACACACATATACATACACACGTTTTAAATGTAGATTCCATAGAAAAGACCTCCGTCTACATAAGTGATTATGAGTAGCAGTGACATTAGGGGGAGGAGTTGTGTTGAGAGTTCCAGGGACGTGGGGTGGAGTCAGAGGGAAGAAAGTCTTTGGCACCAGGAGAAAAGGTGGAAGGACCCTAGGAACAAGCTTATGTTGCTATCGCCATGATGTCTCTCCCTCCCGTGTTTGCCGCAGGTACTGTAGCGTTTATCTACTCTGAAAACATAAGGGTTAATGAAGTTTTGTTGTTTTTATAAATGAAACTAAGTTCTGTTGTTTTTTCCCTGCTTCTTTCAGATCCCGGTCTCCAGAATCTCCCCCATGCCGTTTCCTCCATCGCAGGTCTCTCCCAGGGCTCGTTTTCCAATCTCCATCACTAGTCCTAACAGAACAGGAGCCAGAACTCTTGCAGACATCAAAGCAAAGGCCCAGCTGGTCAAAGCACAGAGGGCAGCAGCCGCAGCAGCAGCAGCAGCTGCCGC